AGGGGCACATTGGAGCTGAGCGTCCTTAGGGCTTGGGGAAGAATGTGTCTATTTCTCATACTGCCCAAGCAGGTATTTTAAATCTGTGTTTTATTGCTTTCATATTGTAAAATGTAATTGTGCATTTAGAAAACACATTAAAGGAGAAAAATGTCACCCCAGACCCTGACATAACCACTGAGGATATTTAAGTGCATCTCTTTCAAACCTTTTTCCTCCTTATGGACCAATAACCGCTAAGATCTACCTTAAGGCATCTAAGTTACTGTGGGAAATGAGATATCATCCAAGGCAAATTCCTCTAAATACTCCAAGCTCAAGACAATGTTTTGCCTTCCTCCTGCTCAGGGTTTCTAAGAGCCCTGCAGGAGTCAGTCTGTAACAGCCTTTCTGCACCTGCCTCTTGCTTCCAAGGAACCTCAGGTGGCGCTCTGCGGTCCCAAATTTGCATCAGAGTAACATAAAGACAGCATGGCCCATTCTGCCAAATGAACCGTCACAGAAGAAGGGTAATTTCTGCCTTCCTCGCTGGCTCCTAATGGAACATCATTGAGCATTAGGAGAAAAGAACTGCAAAGTATCTTTGTGTACAAAAAAGAAGGTTTTTAACATAAACCTCCTCACCTAGACTGGGGAATGTGGGCTGTGTGCATGTGTTTCTACTACCACCAGCCGATTTGTCATATGTCTGGGTTAACTCAGAGCCACGCACACATATACACACACAAAAAAGCAACCAGCATTGAGAGTTTTTAAACACGAGAGTCTGAGGCATCTGCACATAAATATTGTCTCTGCCATCGTCTAAGTTGACTGGCAAGCTATGGGTGCCTAAGTGGCAAAAAGAAAAGTCACAGAATCAGTGAATGACTAAATGTGTGCGCGTGCCTTCCCTGTTACTGACGGAGATCTGTAGGGATCCTGGACAGCTCTCTCCCACTAGCCAAGTCTCAAAGCCCAACTCAGGACCTACAGCTGAACCCTGCACCAAACCTTCTACTTGTTCAGTGGTGCCGACTCCTCCAAGGCCAGTTTCACTAAAGTTGGGAAACCAGACCCGCAAGGGCCACATTTACATAAGACTACCTACCACCTGATTTCTGAGTTTACCGAAAATGCTCCTTGTTGAGAGAGCTCTTGAGTCCTGAGGATTAGCTGAAATGCTAGTGAAGGAAGAGGCAAGATATTATCACCGCAAGACAGCATGCCAGCTGGCTCTTAGGGGAGGAAATACCCCTCCAGGGTGCCTCTCAGGATGCGCCCTTGAGAGCCATTCATTTTGTAATTAACAGAGAAATACCTAAAATATCGCAGAGGGGCAAAGGAGGCTTAGCTATGCCACTGCTTGCAGACCTTGAGTTAGCAAAAGTCAATGCTCTTTTTTTTAGTCAGAATATTCTAGAAGGGGTGACCTGACAGCCCAATGTTTAGCTGAAAGCACCTCTTCCCAGGGCTCTCTTCCTGCCTAGCACTTGCTCTGTACAGAACCCAGCCGAGCACTCAGGGGGCCAGGCCCAGGGTCCTTACACCAAAGGCTCTTAGTCTACTGCCTGACGAGGCTTTAGCTCGCTTTCAACCAAATTGTTTGGGCCCTAGAATTACTACTTCCTGGTTAACGGGGATGCATGGAGCTTGCCTTAAAATGACACCCCCTAATGAAATCAGAACCAGGATATCAGCAAAACAGAGCAATCCTAGAAAACTAACCAGGTTCTCCCAGCCTCTAAAAAGGGCCCTTCTAATAAAACCTTTAATGGCTGAAACATCACTCCCTAGATATGAACTGCCACTAAGCCCCCTGAAGGTTTTAAAAGTTATTTCTATTTATTTGCAAAGTTGAATCAGGAATTCATTGATTTTAAATTTAAGCTCTCTCTGTGGCCTTGAGCACTCTCTGCCCTTCATCAAAAGCTTGACAATTTTATCTTCTCCCATAGATCTGAGGCGGATGTTTAAGTCTCTTTCTCCCTCTACAAATTTCACTGGGATGTGGGATGTGGTATGGGGGGAGGGGAATGGAGGGTTTTTCTAGTTTGGGGTTGATTTTATTCTTGAGGATTACTCTTTTCCATAAGTTCAGGTGGCCTGATACTAAGTTTCTTCCTGCCATTCTTGGTGGGCTGTTCGTATTTAGATTCTATCACTTGATTCACTTTCCTAATGTGTGGCATTTTCATCTTGTGAACAGATCACCCGCAGCTGGTGACCCCACTGAGCACTTTCTGATATACTGCCTTGGACTGTGTTTATACTGTGTGTCCAAAAGTGGACTGAGCCAGTTTGCTGCTAGCTTTGGCCAAGCTGGGTCATCCGTAAGGGAAAATGGGCCAAAATCGGCAAACAAGAACGGAGCATGGGGTCTGGGTGTCCCTAGGATGTAGGCAGTTTGGCCTCATGGCACCGCTCAGCCCCTCCCCAGATCTGCAGCAGTCTCATCTCCTTTGTAGTCGACAGCACAGCCCAACGCAGCACACAGAAAACGAACTGTCTATGTGCCCTTGTGTGAAAGCACCTAGCCTCTTGGGGGTTCTGTTTTGCTTCCCCTTCAAGGCAATGAGGACACCAGGCTAAGTTACTTCCATCACTCCTTCCAGCTCTGATGCCCTATGAGTCCATGAACTATGCTTCCCCAGGTCAAGAAAAGACTTTCCTTCCCTGGCCAGTGGCTCAGTTGGTTGGAGCATCCTCCCGGTCACCAAAAAGGTTGTGGGTTCAAATCCTGGTCAGGGCACATACAAAAGATAAGAAATGGCCTTCCTAACGTCTGGCTGGTTGAGAGAATAAAAAGCAGGGACTCCCCAGAGGCTGAGGTCTGCACAGGGAAGCTGCTTCCCTCGAGTCCTCCTCCCGCTCTCCGCAGGCCCTGGCCGCCCGGGTGGCCCACAGACCTCCATCTGCTTGACGAGCCTGCCGCGGTCATCTTTGAGGTGACTCTTGGCCTCCAGCTCGTACTCCAGGTCCTTCAGCGTCTGCTCCAGGAGCTGCTTCTTCGTGAGCGCCTCATCCTGAGCTCTCTGGTAGTCCCGCAACTCTTCCTCCATCAGGCGCATCTACAATGAGAAGGGGTTGCTCAGCTGGGGCACATCAGGGGCCCAGAGCCCTTGACAGTGCGAAAGCAGAGCCCGAGGAGGAGCAGGGGGACCCCACTACTGAGGTCAGCAGGCCTGAGTGAGTGCCACTGCCCTTGGGGCCTCAGTTTCCTCTTCTATAAAAAAGGGGGGGGGCTTTTCCAGCTACAGGTAGCAACCCATTGGGTTATAAATTTAATATAGTAGATGTTGACCAGAACTTTAAAATTAAATATAAAAGAACTAGAGACCCAGTGCACGAATTCGTGCACAGGTGGGGTCTGGCTGGCCCGCCCCAATTGGGGCCTATTGGGCCAGGCTGGATGGGGGGAGGGGACCCGGGAGGTTGGCTGGCCAGCCCCGCCCCCTGGTCGAACTCCCGGTCAAATTCCTGTTCAAGGGGACAATTTGCATATTAGCCTTTTATTATATAGAATACTCAGAGTAGAGTACAAGCAAATAATGCTTTGTAAAACTCTTGCACTAAATATTCACATATCTGTAGGGATGTATTACTGGTTGCAATGCAAGAGGTATTTTTCCCCTCCGGTCATGATCAGAAAGCCACTGTGCTATTCTAGCAGATAACTGCTTGCCCACCGGGATCAGCATCATTTCAATAGAGGTTTAAAATTAGGGGGAAATAAAAACAAAAATAATGACCCTCCAAAGCAACCTGCATGCACAAAATCTAATAATATAAACATGCCAGTGAGGTGAAAATCATTGTTCTCTAGAAGAAAAATTAGTGGTCATACTGACAATGCTCTTTTTATCCACAAGGTGGCACTGAGCTAACAGCTTTGAAGGCTGCAACAGACAAGAGTTTGATTCACAGGGATGGGCCTGGTTTTCCACTTCTCTGGAATCTCCCGGAAGGGACCAGCCACCTCCGCATACACTAGGCATTACTGAAACATCTGTGTGGACCGATTCGGTGAAGCCCGAAGCTGTCTGTTTTGTTCTCAACTTCCTACCCTTCTGGAGAAGGCTGAAAGCACAGTCGTAGGAAGACTCCACCATGGGGTTACTTCCTTCAGGGAGTACATGAGGGTAAGTGACAAAGTCAAGAGCAGAATCCTATTGCTTGGGGGAGCTTTTCACAGAAAAGTTGGGAGGGTCAGGGGACCCAATAGGTTAGACTCGTTTAGGAAGACCAGTGGGAAAACTTTCAGATATGTGTTCCTCTCTTGGCTGATGGGATCACCTGGCATTTCCATGAAAACCTCCCCTGGTGAAAACCCTAGTCCGGTTTTGGTGGAAACTGAGTGAAAAGACGACTGTGAAATGAAACTGTGAGTGAAAGCACAAGGGAACACCGTCCCATGGGTCAGGGTTAGG